TCTTTGTTTTCTATCATTACAAAAAATAAAATTTAAAAAATAGTGACAAAAAAAATTCAATATTAAAACTATGCACATTAAATAATCTTATGTTGATGCGGAAAATGTGTTTACAGCTGTATATCCTAATAAAATAGCATCAAAAATATCATTTTGGTATCAACAAACTCATGGTATTGCATGGATCGATATTTACCTACAATATTTAGTTTGGATCCTCCATTCTACTCACGAAAGTGACCACTGTATCTGTTTACAACAATGGGGTATTGTAAACATATTTATTATTTACTACACTAGAGATCCTCTCTCCCATATCGCCTAGGGAAAATTATGCTCAACAAAATATCGCCTCGTTTCCGATCCTCGGATATGGACCACGAGGCTATAGGGGCTGCTGGCAATCGATGGCGCCAGACCGTGGATGTGTGGGCATACGTCAGGCGCTCACGGATATCAGCAAACGAGATACTGCAGTCCAGTACGTACGAGTACTCGCACACGAACGAAAGTTCCGTTGCTTGGCGACGGTAAATCGGAGCTGCGTCACATCGGGGATTCGTGAAATGATGAGGGTCGCCGTACAGTCCGAGCGATCCTTCTCTCGGGGTGGCGAACGGTAAAAAGTCGTGCCGCGTGCGTATTTTCTCGCGAATCGAGTGCCACGTAAAAATTCACGGAAATCCCTTTGGAGGATCGTGTTGACCTGGTAATTCTCGCGTGGCGTTTCTCATGTGCGAGTTTAACCCTTACGTTAAACGCGAACTCGCATACGCGTGAATTTCCGAAATAATTCGACGAGAAACTCGCGCTAACCAATCACTATAGACGCCTGATTAACACGGAAGTTGAATTTCTACAGGTGTTTATCCTTCATGATGTTATCGGTCGTCATGTAATGTTTGACGGTGGATATTATTACAACCGAATACGAATACACATTTGCGCGTTTATCCACCATCTGTATCGCGAATATTCGCTCTGTAGAGATGTAAAACGATGCGCACCGAGACCAACTTCAACAACCGACAATCTTAATGCAAACACATTAATGCGGGTAATGTATTCCGTATCCGATCTTCCGAGAGAGATTGCTTTCTGCTGGCGTCACTCTTGCGAGTGCGTGCGAATGTATGCGTGCATGGCATTTCGCAAATACCTATCACCCGCGTGAATCCAATAATCGAGTCGCAGTAATACTCTTCGCGTATTTCCACTTTAACCTTTGATTCGATCCAATATTAATATACACGCAAAGAAATAGATCTCGGTATTTTGTAGAAGTCACGTGGGAGTTGCGACGGTGATAGATCTAGAGTACCACGACTGATGAGAACATCGACCGTTGAGCACCGAACGTACGCGAGAGCTTTGGCGTCGGACCAACAAAAGCGCAAAATATACTCGCCATCGTAGGACGAATTTTCGCGAACTCGTTGGACCTCTGCCCGAGAGATTCCGCCATGGAGTCGCTGTTGGAGGAGGGTGAGTCTTGATCTTGGAGATGTATGCCACTTGCGTACGCACCTGCCGACTTCTCCCTTGAGACTCTCGGCAAATTTGCAAGATGTATCGCGCCAAGCAATTGGACATTGTTAATAAATTCGCATGGAGCTGGCTAATTTCTATGCACGACAAAGCACTACGCTGAATGCATTATTCAACATTTATTTTCAGAATTCACCGTCATCTCCAATTCTCCATAATCTTTATTTATTTAAAGAAATTTAAGTTTGTAACGAAATTGCTCATACAAAGATAAAATATTTTCGATTTCATTTGTTTTCTATATAAGTCCAGACTAACAAAAATAATTTACAAAGAATTTCGTAAATAATATAATATCACTATAAAAATAAGAATTCGAAAAAAGGATATATTCGAATTTATTTCTTAAAATTGTAGCGAAAAATAAAATATTAGACGATCGAATGTGTGTTGATGAAGGCACCACTTAGGTAGGTCTATTTTTTTTAGCTGAACTTCTTGCACAGTTTATTTTTTCTCTTTTTCTCTCCACGCTGGAGAAAAAAAAGGGGAAAGGTGACTCATGTAAGAAGTTAAGCTAAAAAAAAAAAAAACAGGCTCATGCAGGTCTCATCACATTTACGCTTCTGCTTTCGCACGCGCCAAAGAAAACTAGCTGAGCAGATCATCAGCGAAGTGTCGAAGCATATAAAAAAAAAGATGTTCTCGATAAACTACGGCTGCTATAACCAACAGCCAAATTTCGTGTTG